GTATTAAGGACTGTGTGTGTGTGTGTGTGAGAGAGAGAGAGAGGGAGAGAGAGAGAGAGGGTGGGGAGAGAGAGGGAGGGAGAGGGAGGGAAGGAGAGTTCATCATCATTATAAATGGGATTTACCAAATCAGTTTATTGCTTTGCACAATACAGAATTGTGTTCTAGTTGCTTCTCAGGCCAGAAGACTGGTCACCCCAACGATTTCTTCCAGCTCATCAGGGAAATGGAGATAACTTCTTGGGGGAATTTCTGGAGTTGAGAGTTCATTCAGGGAGGTTGAAGGAGATGACCTTTCACACAAGTGGAGGGCAGGAGCAGCAGCCATTGAGAAGCTCAGTCAGGCAGAAGCACATGCTGGCGCAGGCTGCTTTCCTAGAGCCTCCATTCTGTTGGCACCTTCTGGGAGGATCACCCACAGTAAGGGCAATCTTCACACACCTGTTAATCCTCCATAGGAATGCCCTCATAGACACACCACATGGTGTGTTTCAAAATTCCCTCAATTAGAGAAGATCAACCAACAGAACTCGTAGCTACTCATTATGACAGTCTACCTCAGCCTGAGGTAGAGGTGGGTGGGGGCCGGAAGCCTCAGCCTCATTCACACTCCTGGTATTTCCCATAAGTTCTATGCATTCACACAACGGGCATCATCAGGAATGTGGTCTCACTCACCCTTGTGATATTTTACAGAAAGTCTCCTGGTGCATCCAGTTATTCAGCATCTGTTGAAGAAATGAATCCATAAAAGAGGCTATCTTTAAAAGGAAGGGCTTGCAACCAGAAGCATGTCTTCTTTAAGCTATTGAGTGAAAAGACTTTGAAAGCCAACTGTCCTATGAAAAATCGTTAAGTGTGAGTTAATTACCTACTCATTAATGTTAGAAAAACATTTAAGTTAAGCAAATATGAATAAAGGGGCTATTCCTGTGTAATATAAGGAGATGATAATCTGGTAGGATAAATAGGAATTATATAAAAGGCAAGTAAAATCAATACTAATTAGTATGTAAGAAAATGTGAATTAGAATGCCATGAATGTAAGCCATGGATCAAAGCTGCTTGAACTATGAATTATGAGACCACATAGAGCCAGTCACCTGACCATGAGGGTACCAGAGGATTAGTCAAGGGCAAATGTTTCTGGAAACAGAGAGAGCAGAAGTTATGTCGAAGTCAAATGTTATGTCCTATGACCACCTTGGTTCTGGACACACAGTCTGAGCACTTTGAACTGTGCACGCCACCATACCATGTAACACCAGCCAACACTGCCTGAAACACCTGGGCTCAGAGTTGGCATGGTTGCATGCTGAGTTGCAGCAACTTCCCTGCCTTAAGATGGTTTCTGTTTTTACAGACATGTAGTGGCCCAGTTGTAGAAAACAAAGACCTTAGCACTTCTCTAGCATGCCTTCAGTCAGTCTGACTTTGCATTGGTTTGCATTAACAAGTACATCCCATCCCATTAATGCAGATTTGTTTTTCTCTTTGATTAATTTTAAAAATCACATATATCCTAGAATTGTTTTAAAACTTTTTAAAAATGACCTACTATCAGTAAATGACTTTTGTTTCTATTGTATATACTCATATAGCCTGGATCATACCAAGATCTCTTGTGTGAGAAGAGGTCACATGTAGAGAAGAAGGCTTAAGAAGATGTGATGCAGACAGTAGTCACCAAAATGATAGGGGATCTCAAAGGACTTTGTTTTATGGATGAAGATGTAGGAACATTTGATATATTAAAAAAATCAAGGCAAGCTTTAAAAAGAATTTTTAGTTTAAAAATAACTTTATACATGTTATTGCTAATATTTTGTATTATTTATTTTAAGATTTAGTCTATTATTTATTGATGTGAATCTGTATGTGTTTCTGTGCATGAGTGAAGGCACTCACAGAGGCCAGAATTCCCTGGAGGTAGACTCATGGCAGTTGTAAGCCTCCTAATCTGGCTTCTGGGAACAGAGCTTGGACCCCCTGTAAGACCACTTAACTCCTGCACCATCTTTCCAACCCTGGAAATACTTTACTTGAAGAAAATATCTAAGTGTCAAAACAAAACATACAATTAGGAAGAGTGATGGGCAGTAATGGTATACACCTTTAATTCCAGCACTTGGGAGGCAGAGACAGGTGGATCTCAGTGAGTTCAGGGTCATCCTGGTCTCCAAAAAGAGTTCCAGGACAGTCAGGACTGTTACACAGAGAAACCTTGTCTTGAAAAACCATAAAAAATAAAAAATAATAAAGAAGAGGGATATTATGTGGAATATTTTTATCGCTCTGTACGCTCCAGCATCTAAGAAATAATGTGGGTCCCCCTATCCTGTGCAAACCTCACTGTACTCAAGACAGAATGAGAGAAAGACAGGTGTCCTGGCATGGGTTGTATGTACATATGTCTTGAGGAATATGAGTCTTTTTACATCTGCTATTACTTCTGTTGAGTGGGGCATGAATTGCTATTCAGAGGATGGGTAATTAACTTTGGGATATCTAGACCTTGGGACATGATGAGATTCAGTTTGTTGCTGTGTCCAGTGGTCCACAATGAGCCTCATCATCCTACTGCAGTGTGGACTCTGACTGTCAGCCCCTCCCTCTTCCAGTGCTTTATATGAATCAGAACCTACTGTGCTGCGCTTCTTGGCTGGCTAGGATTGTTCAGGGCATCTCTGCTGGTCCTAGTCCCTCCACTACAGACTGCTCTTCTCCTTCACGCATGCTTTTGTCCAACTCATTGCCGTAAGCAGCATCTCTGTGCCGATGGATCCCCAAAGACGAACAATCTGTGGTCTGTTCTGCATATCTACTTGGAGGCTCCAGTAGGATTCTTAGTGTGTCTACAACAGACTTGCTCCCCCACCCCCTACCCCACTGGCTCCAACTCCTCTTCCTTGCTCACTGCTTGGTTCCCAAGCAAAGGTAAACTCTGGACCCCAGCCCTTTTCACACTTCTGTATGCTGTGAAATGTCTTGCTGCAAACACAGCCATCGCTATTTGATCTTCGCTCTGATGCTGTTTTCTTAGTAAGATCCATTTGAATCCATAAATGTACTAAAATACGCAGCCCAGCATAGTTTTCCCTCTCCTGGTGTTTCCTACTCTGTGTAGCACCTCTTGCAACCTGTTCTACAAGGCAGTATGCCTGCTGTAGACATGGTTTTGGTGATTCCAAGGGCACACCGTGACAGATGTTCGTTCCTCAAGATGGCTACTGGGAGATGGCTACAATTAAGTCTTTAAGGAATTGGGGACTTGAGGTAATTAGTTGTCATGAAAACCTTTGAGTTCTCTGAGAGTTCTGATACAAGAAAAGCAAGATTGGTGCTTCCATTTTTTCTGTCTGCTTGTAGATCCAAATGTATTCACTCACTTGCTCCTCAATATGTGTCTACGATTGTTCTTCGTATCGTGGCATGGTGTGGCCATCACCACAGAGTCTGTGCTGGGCAGTTGGGATTTTAAATATCTGGAGCTATGAGGTAAAACAACCTCTTCACTTCATAAGCAGAATGCTTCAGCTATATTGTCATAATGACAACAAATGGCTAATACACATTTTACCCCACCATGTAAGTATTAATCTTTCAGGGATTTGTCTTTTGAACTCTGATTTTATCTCTTTTTCTTTCTATGTATGTTTCATAACACTTTTGTTTTATTCACGTGTGCATGTGTGTGCGTGTGTGTGTGGGGGGGTGTATGTGTGTCTCCTGAGTGCAGTTTCTTCCCAGACTGTTTCTAATACATACTAGAGAGGTCCTATGAGTCTGGTATAGACAAAACACAAATAATATAGTAAAAGAAATGATATCACAGACAGAAGAGGACTTGGATTTTTTTCTGTGACAGGAGTTACTTTTTAAAGTCAAACTTCAGCTTCCTAAACTTACTGAGAATTATGGTGCCAACTGGGTTTCCACTTTTGGGTTCCTGTGCCCTTACAGTTCAGTTCAAATGAAGCTGAACTCCTCCATGGAGAAGCCAGTGGAAACAAGTCTGGGTTACAAAGCTCAGTGAGGGATGTTCTTCCTGATCCTATATCACACACTTAGCATGATTTTAACGTCATTTTTTAATGTGAATTTCCATGCTATTTTAATTCATTAGTCATGGGCTATCATTTTTTGAAGTAATTACTGTAATTTCATCAAATGACATAATTATAGTAAATACTTTGATGTAATTACCATAAATATGGAAAGAGACACCCGAAGGTATAATAATGTCACAAACTAAGATATTTATGATGTGTAAAGACAAATTATGATGACATTTATGACATGCAGTAACATCACAGAGTGCTGTGTTTATGTTGGATAAAGGATAATGATATAAATAGAATGTGAAGTTACATCATGGAGATTCATTTCTCTTTTAAGTGGTACTGAAAGTTGAGAGTTCTACAAGACCTCAAGTTCAAATGAACAGATTGCTATCATTTTATAGCGTTTTTCCTTTGAACCTTAATAACTGACTATGCTATTTTACTGGGGTAAAAGCATTTCCCCCTTCAAAAGCAAGGACTAGACACAGACGCAAAGCAGAGACACTAAATGTGAACGCACACATAGTCACTGAAAAATACATACATAAGAACTCCGTACCAGTGAGAGCCATGGTCTTATGCTCCATACATTCCTTTACACATGTCAGTAGAATAGTCACCGCTGCTTGTCTCCCTGGTCACGCTGCTCTCCAAAACAGGCAAATCATTGTCTTGGCTTTAACCAAAGGCACGCAACCATGTCTCACTTGTACACACAGGTGTCACCCTGAGACCAGGGCCTGTTTGGCTAGGGCAGGATGATGCCTTGATACATAAGACTAGCTTGGTCTAGACACCAGGTTCTATGTCAGTCAGGATTATACAGAAATAGTGTCTTAGAAGAAGAAAAATGGAAGAAACATAGACGATGCTTGTGCAAGTATGAAGACTTAGTCTCATCCACAAAAACCCTCATTAACAAAGCCAGGTGCAGCAGTGGTGTTTATTTGTAATAGCAACAGTGGGGAGTGGAAGACATTTATGATACCAACAGTGGGGAGGGAAAGATAGATCCATTTGGCCTAATCTACTTCTTGAGTTCCAGGCCAGTGATACATTCTGTTTCAACAAAGTAAAAAGGTGGATGTGTATAGTCCCCAAGGAATGTCACTAGAGGTGGCCTGTACACAAAGCTTCATACATGTGCCACATACATACATATGCACATATGACTAAGTCAATACGAAAATTAGCTTAAATCTAGCCACGGGTTTCATTATTTTTCTGCTTGGCTGTTTAATTTGTACAGGTTTATTGTATTTGGGAGTATATTTTTAAAGGTTTGTTTGAGTTTCCATTATGTTTGCACGTGTGGATTCTGTGTGAGGGCATGTACACGAGAGCTCAGGTGTTTGATGAGCTGGAAGAGGGTGCTAGGTCACCTTGAGCAGAGCTACGCGTACATGTGAGCTGTCTGAGGTGGGTGCTAAGAGACAGACTCTGGTCCTCTCAGATAATGACTGTCTCTGCAGTCCCACACCTGGGAATATTTTAAACTACACTGTACCACCCCCGGCTTACTCTTCTTTTATACAAACAGCCATTTGCACAGCTGTGACTTTTATCTCACCATCTCAGCGACTCCCTCTTAGAACGGAGATGTCATGGACCATGAAAGACAAACACATTCTCATCTTAATGACTGTGCGTGTTCCCGTAAACCTTTTGCCTGTAAACTAAACACATTGCGCATTATTTAGTTTCATTGGCAATCAGGCCTTCAATATTAAGTTAAAATTCTTTTGATTTCTACGACATTTCCAGGGATCACCACAAGACACGAGCCGCAGAATTGACCAAGGCTGTGCAATGTGAACTCAGGTTCTGAAATGATTTGCTTAAAACGTCTTGGATTGACAGGGAAGGCGGCACAAACCCCTGCTGGAGCAGGGTCTGAACACTGACTTTTTAAAATTCGTTCTCTCATATTTTACATCTGACCAAACTTTTCCCTCCCTTCTCTCCTCCAAGTCCCCCCCCAAGAACACCTTTTTCTTCTCCATCCACTCTTCCTCTCTTTCCCTTCAGAAAGCGGCCAGACCCCCAGGGATACCAACCAAACATGACATATCAAGTTGCAATAAGGCTAGGCACCTCCCTTCATATTAAGGCTGGGTAAGGCAACCCATTATGAGGAAAAGAATCTCCCCAAAGCAGGCAACAGCATCAGAAACAGCCCCTGATCCCTCTGTTAGGAGTCCCACAGAAACGCCAAGCTGTACAACTATAAAATTTATGTAGAGGACCCATACACACTCCCGGGTTGTCAGTTCAGTCTCTGTGAGCCCCTATGAGTCCATGTTTGTTGGTTCTGTGTGTTTTCTTGTGGTGTATTTGCTCCCTCTGGCTCCTACCATCCATCCTTTCTCCCCCTCTTCCACAGGATTCACTGAGGTCTGCCCAGCTGTTGGCTGTGAGTCTCTGCATCTGTTTTGTCAGTTGCTGGTTGTGGTCTCTTGAATAATGATGATTGTGCCAGGCTCCCACCTACAAGTACAGCAGAATACCGTTAGAAATTACTCTGTTTATTTATCTACTTGGATAAGGAAGATAGTGCATTTGCACAATGGAGTATTATTCAGCTGTTTAAAAATTACTTCATGAAATTTGCGGGCAAATGGATGGAGCTAGAAGAAATTATCTTGAATGAAATCATCCAGGCCCGGAAAGACAAACATGGTATGCACTCACTTATAAATGGGTATTAAACTGAAAAGAACAATCATGCTACCATCCATGGACACAGAGAGGATAAGTAACAAGGAGGGATCAAGGGGAGATGCAGGAATCTCCCTGGGAAGGAGAAATAGAGCAGTTCTTGTGGGTAAACTGGAGGTGGACTGGATGGGAACTGGGGGTGGGGATGGGGATTAGGTGTGGGAGGATGGAGGGAGAGAGCACTGGAGCTGGAGAGCATTCGGGGACAAGGTAGAAACCTAGGGCAATGGAAGCTCCCAGGTTGACGATAGGTGAGAGTCATAGCAATGGGGGTACGGAGCCTGAACCAGCCTTCTCCAATAGCCAGGCAAGAGTCCATGTGGAGGGACTGGGACACCAACACCTTCCACCTACAATTTGTCCTGCCAGCAAGATGTGCTGGGGTCAGTGTGGCACAGAGATTGTGGGAGCAGTCAAACAATGGCTGTCCCCAGCGTGAGACCCATGCCACCATGTGAGGGAGCCCCCTCCCTCAAGGACACCGCCTGGAGGACAAGAAATCCAAGCCAGATGGCCCAAAGACCTAGGACAGAACCACACACTCCTGGCTTGTTCTTTCAAGCCAATAGTTTTCAGCTTGCAAAGGAAGTTTCACACTGCTTCAGGATCACAGGAAGAATAAGTCGGTTCACACTGATCTAGGATCACACCGAGAATAAGTCAGCATCCAGACTCAGCTAACGACCCTAATATATCGAGACGAAGAAAACAATGCTTTCTAGATGGAGTTTAGATTACCTTTTCACTTCTGAGTTGGCATGCTGCCACAATATGAATAAAATAGGAAGAAATAATCGGGCGTTGGTCAGCTTTACTTTACTGTAGCAAAATGCTCTTGGAGAGAAGAATGTATAAACAGGAAAGGTTTCTTTTTTTTGCTCATAGTTGGAAGTTTCGATGCAAGGTCACCCGAACTCATTGTCTTTCAGACCTGTGGCTCACCTCATGCTGAGATAAGTGTGCTGTAACACACTGGTCCCTTCATGATAGCAACGGCAAAGACGGGTGAAGACTGCGGCTCCCGGGGTCCTCTCAAGGGAACACCCCCAATAGCCTAATTTATTTTCAGGAAGCCCCGCTCTTCTTGACAGCATAGGCTGGTACCCAAGTCTTTAACAGACACACTTTAGTGACCTTTCTTAAGACATAGTACACCCACATGAAACTTTTGCGACTTCTTAAATGTTTAGGGGTATTCTGAATCATAAAAGCTTATGAGAAATCTCCTGTGTTGTCATGACAAATGGAAAACCTACTTTGGGAAAATCTGAACAACTTAGGAAACAATTTCAGAATTATGCTTCATCCTTATAATAAAAATAAGCATCAAGCTGGACACATTGACTCATTTGCAATCCCAGGGCTGGAGAAGCTCATGCTTCAAATTCCAGGCCAGTGTGGGCCACATATTGAAACCTTTTTAATAAGACAGCACAAAGTGAATATTGAAATGTAATATCGTGTGTATATTCAGCAAAGAAGAGACACAAATCTAGAACTTGTAAGTAAAATTAAAGCATACAAAATAATATCTACCATTGTTAGTATTCCATAGCAAAATACTCTCTTAGGTCTGTTTATCAGTGTTACTCTCTCAGATATGAAAAAAAAAACTCCTTCTAAGCTCAACTTCACTTTTCACCAGCTGGTGTGTGTGTGTGTGTGTGTGTGTGTGTGTGCGCGCGCGCACGCGCGCGTGCATATGTGTGTGCGGGTGTGTAAAGCCACAGTGCATGCATAGTTTTTTAACTGCTAGAAATATACAACTTTGAAGCTTAAGTAGTTCCCTGATAAACCACTCTTTTTATTTTCCACTTTGTTCTGTTTTCAGTTAGCCTTGTGGCAGTCGACTGGTTTTGAAAAGGCTCCACTTTCTTAGGGTCTTCTTTATTTCACACACACCTGGATGGGATGAAGTTCGGGCTGCGTTTCTGAGGAGGAGGATGCGGCCAAATCCGTATGTCAACTATGGGGGCGCCCTGATGTTAAGCAGTCAGTGAACTGGTGACCTGCAGTTCCTGGGCTTGGCAACCACTGCTTCCTCCTGTAAGGCGCTCTTTGCAGGTCATGCGGCCTTTCTGCTTCTGTGTCTCACGTACTGAGCAGACTCACGGGAGGACGTGCTTGTCGGATCACCATGCTGTGACGGGGGCACATACGTCTGAAACTAGAAGAAAACATTTGGTTCATCTCCTCCACGGAATAGCAAAAGCCCCTATTGTGTCTGAAGAATGAACTCAATTGCTTGATTTATGCTGTCAGTCCTGCAAAGAGTCTAAATTGATTTTCACTCAAAGCAAGGCTGGGAAGGCCAAGTGCTTGCCAGACTCCAAATTGCTGACCTGTCTGGAAAGTCTCACAGAGGCCCAGGGTATCAGAGGGACTGCTACTGTTCAAGTAAAACACACAAGAGCAGCTGGGCCCAGAGTCACACCTCAGCTGCAAAGTGGTAAGATGCTACACAGTCTGGAAGACAACCGTCTCACGCCGGCATGCCCAGTCTTTGTCCACATCGACTGAGGAGCTCGAGTTCCGCTTGTCTGAAGAAGGTTGCCTAACATATAATCCAAGATTAATTAATTTCTCAGGGATTCTGCAGAGTCTACAGGACTTATCTTTGGAGGAAGGTGGTACCTATTTTTTTATTATTATTATGTATGTCTGTACATGTGTGCACAGGGCTGCAGTATCTAAGGAGGACAGAAGAGGGCGTTGTTTCTCCTGGAACTGAACTCGGGTCTTCTGCACCGGGGGTGTGTACTCTAAACACTGAATCTTCTCTCCAGCTCTGAGGGCCGTATTGAAAGCATGCTGCTGACTTGCCATGGACTTGGGAGGTTGAGTTGGGAATGAACTTCAGAAGAACCTGGTTCCTGGTTTCAATGTGGTGACCAACAGCTTAATTAGTCCTACGCTCTTTGCAGGACTGTGCCCCAATTTGAAAACCAGATCTGTAGCTCAGCATTTTGTGTTTCGGTGTCAAGTGGTGATGATGATGGTTATGACTGATCAAGGCTGCTCTTGGGGGGTTCCACACAGGGATGCTAGGGATGCTTAAAGAGGGGTACGTGGTCTGTGTGTATTTACCAATGCCCACCAAAGCCCTGGCTCACACCATGACTGGAATGAGAACAGTTACATGTGTTCTAGAAACATTCTTCTCTGATATTTTCAGTATTGTTAGATAGGAGGTGTTAGGCTTTGGAGGACAACCACAGAAGGAAAATGCCATTTTCATCATCCTGTCAAGGGTGTGGTTTGTTGATGTGGGTGTGGATCAATTGAGACACTGTCAGATTTCAATGCAGTAATATTAGAAAGGACAGAAGGAATGCCACACGAATAATTTCTCCTGGAAATTTCACCTGTCAAGGACAGTTGCTGACCTGAAATGGAAAGGCTGGCTAGACATGGAAAGTTTGTAAAACTTCAGACTGTCCCTGGTGTGGTCTCAAGCTTCCTTCCATTCGTTTTCTGGCTTGTAGACCAGGCAAGCTTCAGACTTGTGTGATCAAACCCTCCTGCCTTTGTCAATCGTGTAGGGGCTGTGGGTATGCATGACCACAGCCAACTAGCATCTGCACATTTCTTCCTCTGTTGGCAGTTTGAATTAGAGGATGGCCAAGCCCCGTGAACATGGCTAGCCACATAGTCCTGTCACTTGTGAAGTTCCTCAAATCTTTCCTGATATGGAGGCCAACTTTTCAGGTTTTCATGTGTTAAGACAGGACACGGTCAAAGCTGCTTCAGAACATGCATGATGCTTCCCAGGCCTGCACCACCCTTCATTCTGCCTCCTTTCATTCCCCTAACTACTTCAATCTGTTTCTCTTACACCTACTTTTCTTTCTTGATTTTAAAAAAAATTGTCATCTTAATCAGTAATCTACCAATTATCCCATTCAATTTGCCCCAAAGGTTAAAATAATTTATTTCTGCTGTTCTTGTAAAAGAAAATTAGCAAAACTGCTATGTTTTCCAATTAAAATTACTTTTGAAAGTTGGGAGCATTATTTTTAAATATTATGAATGTTCCATGTTTGTCTCTAAATGGATGTTACTGCTTTTCCCCACAATGAGAGCTCACATCTCTCTTCATTTTTTTATTATTGTTCATTTGTTGAGTGACTGCTTCTTTAGTTTCATGCTTTACAATTAAAAATGACACTTAGCGAATCTGGGTAACTATAATCATTAATGGCTCAAGTATCTATGCCCTACTGATGACAACCCTTAGGTCAGTGAAGGCAGCCAGCCAAAGCAGTGGTTCTAAGAGCATCCCTGGTAGAGGTTGGCCATGCCAGAGGGACATTCAGGTTCCTGTGCCTTTGTTATCTTCTAAAGGAACAGCTCTGCTTGGAGGCTGCGTGCTACCATGCAACAGGCCAGGAGAGGAGGCGATTTCCCTCTCTCCTCACGCCTCACCCCAGAATCTGCCATAAGTCTTTAAAAAAAAAAGCTCCCAGGCTTGCCCTGGCTGGAACCCTGATTCCTAGAACCCGCCTGTGTCTCTCTGTCTCTGTTTGCATCTCTCTCATTCTTTCTCCCTCCCTTCTTCTCTCTCACTCTCAAGCTCCCACCATAGCCCTGGAATGAGCCTCTCTAAAACTTCCTTCTGTGGTACGTGAATTTCATCCCTCCAATCATCCAGAAAAAGCAATGTGGAAGCCACTGTCACGGAGTAGCTTTGATGGCTCTTGAGTTTCTGAGATGTCAGCAGCCCAAGCCATATTCACTGAGAGCCAAAAAAAGGTGTGTCATTCTTAGATATCCCAAGTGATAGGAGACCAATGACCAAGACAACCTATAGAAGGAAGAGTTTATTTGTGGCTTACAGTCTGAGAGGGCGAGTCCATGGCCATCATAGTGGGGAGGCAGCAGGAAAGCAATTTTATCTTGAGATACAACCATGAAGCAAAGGGGGAGATAAATGGGAATGGCGTGGGATACTGAAACTTCAAAGCCCATCCCTATTCCACACCTTCCCCCAGCAAGGCCAAGCCTCCTAATCCTTCCCAAACAGCTCCACCAACTGGGAACCACGTATTCTGATACATGAGCCTATAGGGGCCAATTTCTTTCAGATCAACACAACCGCCTCAGGTCAGCTGAGACTCTGTGTTATGGCAACTTTTTCTAGCATAGGGTTTTTCCATTCTCAACATGAATTAATCTTCAGGGTCTCAGAAAGAAAACTTGTAATTCCTAAACACAGTGGCATCAACTGTGGCATTAGGAGAAAACTTCAATGAGCAGTAGTCCAAGTGCTCATCACGAGGTGTCCTTTGGGAAGGATCAGTAAGGAGGGGTTGGGATGGTGGTATAGTTCTGTGCTAGAGAACTTGCCTAGCCTGTGTAAGACACTGGGTTTAGTCTCCTGTACCACAACAACACAACAAGACACAATAGTAGGGGAGAGGGACTGGTAAGAAGTCTGAGCTCAGTGACCCTCCACAGTGCTACAAAACTCAGTGTGAGAAACCCAGCACTCTGTCCCTGTACTTAGAAGACTCTAAGCAGAACTACAATAGAGAAACAGATACTGTTCCAACAGATATCCCCCTCTTTCCCCTTAAACTTGAAGGTATTGTAGTTGGTGTATATGAATAACTCAAGGAGCTCAGTCAGGAGAGACTGTTAGAAGAAAGTATGTATAAGAACCTTACAGATCTGTTTCTCACTTATATGATAATGGGGCATGTATATAGGGTTTTTTTTTACACAAATGTCACCCAATTTAAAATAATTTACAAGGATACCCATGATTCAACAGGATAGCTCAAATTAAAAGTGAAATGATTGAAGAGGTGAAAGGCTGTAGGGATGTTAACTTAGAAAGTGAATGGAAAAAATATGTGAAAATGAATAGCGCACATTAATATTTTGCTGGTAGGCAATAAATATCACTTAAGATTCTGACACCTAGAGTGTAAAATATAAGGTGATGCCACTCTAGAATATTCTCTTATTCTTTATTGTTAGAATGCATATTTACTTTTATTTTAATTCCTTAATAGATTCTTCCCAGTGGCCTAGCCAGAAAGAATGTAATAGGATTTATTTTATTCTTGGAGACATTGAAAGGTGGAAAATTACAGAATCTGACCAAAGATTGCATAGCTACTAAATGGAGTTTGACTAATATCCATGGCTTGAAATGTCATGGTATGTCACTGAAAAACAAACCAGAAATTTGGACAGGTTGGGAGACATGCCTCTGTAATCTCAGCATATGGGTAGCAGAGAGAAAAATATTGAGCTTTTGAGACTAGCCTGGGCTACAAAACTGAGATTCTCTCTGAAAAACAAAGTAATAAATTTCAATACACTAATAGCATCTCTCACTCTATAATCTGTGCCCTTCCACAATAATGATATCTCAGACATTAAACTGGTCTCATCATAGGAATGATTAATAATTACATTGTCACCCATAGTACGATCAAGCATCAAATTAATTTTACCAGTACAGGAACTTACAAACATACCCAAAGAACAGGAGCTTTTCTCAAAATTAGGGTTCCCGTTTTCTCGACAACAGAGTGTTCTCACAGCCAGCCCTGCACGTTTTGGGAGATGAACCAGGTAAACCGTAGTAGAAATCAGAAAACACTGAGACAGTGAATGGCACAGAGGTAAAGACTTTCCCTCCCCCAACACAAACTTTAATAGAAAAGAAAACACTCAGTAGATACTGTTTTCTGTCAACTGGACTCAATCTGGGGTCATCAAGGACGTGGAAGCCTCAGGTGTTGAAAATACTTTCATCCAATTGGCCTGCGGGCCAGGCTGTGGAGCATTTTCTTGACTAACGATTGATGTATGAGGGTCCAGCCCACCCGGGCTGCTCCCACCCTTGGACAGGTGGTCCTGCGGCATATCTAGAAAAGAGCTGAGTGAGGTAGTAAGTAGCTTTTAGCTATGGACCATGCATCAGTTCCTGCCTTGAGTTCTTGCCCTGGTCCCCCTTGGAGACAAATTGCTTCCTAAGTTGTAGGATGATATATTCCTTTCCCCCCACAGTGTTTTATCACAGAAACCAAAAGCAAACTAGGACAAGACTTGGTACCAGGTTCCCGGAGCGTTGTGACAGACAGGACCGTGTTCTCTTGAGGAGGACTATGGAAGGACTTGATAGCTGTTCTGCAGAAGCCATGGAGTGTTCGGAGTTTAATGGGCTGTTTTATGAGGTCTTGAAGATAAAAATTCCCAGAGAAATCCAAACAGTGGGGGCCTGGTTTGTGAAGTTTCAGAGAGAAGCAAAAACTCTCTTGGACTGTATGAACGATGTTTTGAGAGCCTGTGTTTTCTGGCCAGCCGAGCTGAAGAACTGGCCGTGATAAGAGCTCAGAACCACACTGGAGTGAAAGATTTGCTGTACTGGTCAAATTGATGCTGCTTGCTGGGTCCAAAAGTCTGCCGTGATTAAGATAAGACCAACATCATTGTATTGTAGTCTTCCCGAAGTGTTTCCTCATAGCACACAGAAACTGTGGAGACACATACCAGGCCAGAATTCACAATGGCTTTGAGGTCATACCTCACACTGGCTGTGGACTGGGTGATGTGGGAGAGGCTCCCAGGCGTTACTGGTTTCAAAGGCATAGGGGTGGCCTTGGTGAGGGTTCAGCCTCAGGTGTAGGAGGGGCCCAAGATTTGAAGGCTCACAGAGAGGAGCTGAGGTTTGTACCAGGTGAAGAACCAGCATTCCTGAAGACAGCCCAGGAGAGGCCACTGGTGAAAGTGCAGCCCAGTCTTAGTAGAGACCTACATAGTGGGGATTCCAGGACTTCCGGATGATACCCAATGACAACAGCAACCGTGGAGTAGTGGGATAAGTCATTTTGACTGGGCTAAGATGAAATCATAAAATTGTTCTGATGTGTATTTCTCTAACTGCTAAGCATGCTGAATAGCATTTTGTGATATTTCTTAACCATTTTTACTTCTTCTTTCGAGAACTCCCTGTTCTGATTCACAGTCCTGTAACATTAGTTTTTTTTTTTTCTCGCCAGCCTGGTCCCAGTGTTATGTCAGTCCCAAATCAACACACAAATGCTATATTAATTATGAAACTGTTGGCCACTATCTCTGGCTTCTTATTGGCTAGCTCTGTCTAAATTATTAACACATTTCTAATCATGTAAGTGTTTCCTCGTGGTCTTATCTTACCAAAGACAGGATCCAGGGTCTTACAGGGTCTTACATGGTCTTACATCTCCACTGTTCAGCATCTCTGCAGAGAGGAAAAGAGAAGAGAGCGATTTCCTGCTTGTCACTGCTTATATTCTGATTCTGCCTGCTACATCACTTCCTGCCTGGCTCACATGGCAACGTCTCTTTACTACATTTCCCAGAATCCTCCTCGACTCCTAGTCCCACCTGTCTTGCTTCCCTATTGGCCAATAGTGCTTTATTTATCAACCAATAGGAGAGACATATGCACAGAAGGACTTCCCCCATCACAGCCCCCTTGTGAATTGGGATGTTTGTTTGTTCACCTTCCTGTTGCTTGAGCTCTTCATATGTTCCGGATAAGTCACCTCTGTCAGATGTGTAGCTGGCAAGCATCCTCTCAGTCTCCATGGACTCTCTCTCTGCTTGGCTGGTGACTTCCTTTTCTGTACAGAGCCTTTTGATTTGATGACTTCTCTCCTGTTGGCTCCCTTTCCTGAGCAAATGGATTTCACTTCAGAAAGTCCTTTTCTACAGCTCTATCTTGTAAGGCACTACATGGTCTGCTAGCAGAGCCAGTGTTTCAGGTTGCATATTGAGGTCTTTGATCCATGTGGAGTTCATTTTTGTGCAGTCTGGTAGATATGGGTCTAATTTTATTCTTCTACACAAGACACCCAGTCTCCTAAGCACCATGTGTTGATGATGCTGTCTTTTTGTCAACATGGTTTTTTTGGCCTCTTTGCCAAATGACAGATGGTTGTCATTGTATGCGCCGATGCTTGGGTTTTCTGTTTTGTTCCATTGATGTGCGTGTTTGTTTTTGTGCCACACTGTTTTTTAGACCATAGTTTTGCAATATATCTTGAAATCCAGGAAAGAGATCCCTCCAGCATTCTTCCTTTTTTACTCAAGTACCCTTTGGATGTCCTGGATTTTGTGGTTCCATATGGATTTCAGGAAACTGTGTGTGTGTAGAATTTTGTTGGGATTTTGATTGGGATTTGGGTAGAATGGTCATTTGGTAATATTAATTCTACCAACATACTGGCATAGGAGGTCTTTCCATTTTCTGGTGTCTTCCTCAGTCCTGTCTCTCTAGAGATTTAAAGTTTTCATTATAGTGGTCTTTCAATAACTTGGTTGTATTTGCTCCTAGATATACTTTGTTGTAAACAGGAGTTTGTTGATGTCCTCTCTCTCAGCTTGTTTGTTGTCAGTGTATTGAAATCACTACTCACTTTTGTAAATTGATTTTTATTACGCCATATTGCTTATGTTGTTGATCATTCACAGAATTTTTTTTGTTGGTACTTTTAGATCTCTTATGAATGATATAGTATCTGAAAACAGAGATAATTTAGCTTCTAATTTTTCCTGTTTGTATCCCTCTAATTTCCTCCTCATGTCTTATTGCTTTAGCTTGTGATTCTGGTGCTATGGTAAAAAGCAGTAAGGACAGTGAAAAGCCTTGTCTCACTCTAGAGGAAGCGACATAGTCCCAATTTTTCCCACTTTAAGATGATATTGACAGTGGATTTTTCTTCTAGTAAAAAAATACATGTATTTTTAGACATTATATTCTGATTATGGTTTCCCTTCCCCCAACTCCTCAGAGCCTCTCTCCCACCTCCGCTCCTGTCCAGATTCACATCTTAGGGCTGTGGATGGGCTGGTCCAGCCAGTCCTTCCTTGGGGCTGAGCAGGATGGAGAGTGTCGATGACCATGACCCTTCTCCTAGTTACTGGAGAGAACCTCACTGAGTCAGGAGACTTGTCAAAACAGGATCTCATTTTATTGCATCAGGGATGTGCTTATATAGTGTTGAGAAAGAGGGTGGGGACCTCAGGATGGGGTGAGGTGTAAGGGCCAATATTATTCCACCACATTAGCAGTAGCTGGGCAGAGGAAGTTTTGCTGAGTCACTCCTATGGGGACCTGATAGGCCAAAGACAGGTCGCCAAACTCTAGCCAGGCTCGGGAAGTTCCACTAGGCCTTGCATCTGGGTCATTTTAGACCCAACACACCCTTTCTGCCTTCTGTTAGAAAACAGACAAGTATCAAAGGAATAAAAACAAAGTAAAATAAGATAAAACAACAGCAAACAAATTGAACAGGACTAAACAAACAGAAGAGACTGATGAAAAAGCACAAGAAACATGTATAGAGGCAAAGACACACGCTTTCCACACAGACAGGAATCCCATAAAAATGCAAAACAGGAAGACATAATATATACACAAGGACTGGTGAGGTTTAAAAAGGAAATGCCCTGGTAAAACATTATGAATCAAAGCATTTGCAAAGATGCCCTTGAGTTCCCTTTGGGTTGGCCATCTTCTGCTGGGCACAGGGCTTGTCCTTAAAAGAGCTTTGTTTCTCCAGTGAGACACTCTAAGAAAAAATACAATTCTTCATTTGCAAGTGGCTGTCAATTGGAGCTAGCTTCTGAGTTAGGGGTGGGGGTGTATGTCCACTTCTCTCAGCTCTCGGACCCCATCTGGTGTTGGCCTATCAGGTCCTGTACCTGTTGCCACATTCTCTGAGCATTTATGTGTGTCGTCCTGGAGTATCTAGCATCTTGGAGATGAAACAATTCACTCTATTGGATGATGAGTGAATCAAAGACAAAAATCAAGAAAAAGACTAAAAATGTCTCAGAGTAAATGCAAATGATAAGACAATATGACCAAGTCTCTAGATGCATTAAAAATAGTTAGAAAAATATTTTCCATGGTATCTTCTGGGCTGTGTGAAACTGAAACCCTCCTTCCCCGCCATGTGCTGTCAGTAACTCATGGTCACAGAGGCAGCTGCGGCTGCTCTGGGTGAGGAGTGAAAAGGTTATGTGATGTGAGGTGGTTCTCCTGAATGCTGTGAATATCTGTTGCTTTTCCTGGTTGGTGAACAAAGCTGATTTGACCAATGGCGGGGCAGAATATATCTAGGTGGGAAATCCAAACAGAGTTACAGAGAGAAAGAAGGCAGAGTCAGGAGATGCCACGTAGCCACCAGGAAAACAAGATGTGAGCCAGGTGCTCGTGGTAAAATACAGAACAATAGAAATGGGTTAATTTAGTTGTAGGAGCTAGTCAGTAAGAAGCCGGAGCCACTGGCCAAACAATTATAACTACTAGTATTAAGCCTCTGCGTGGTTATCCGCACACTGTGGGGGGGACAGAAAACACCCTGAACTGGTGATAGAAACAACAAGCATGATTTTCCCATAAGACAGGGTGTCTTGTCCCATGGCAGAGTGCGCCTGCTATCGGGTAAGGGACATGCTGGAGACCGGAAGCCCAAGGCTGCTCACAGACACATTGTGGGTGCCCCTCTGAGTGTTCTCAATTTGGTTATCAAAAAATAAAATGGAAGGGTGTTTCTAAGCTGACAGATAACACTATGCTTCTGCAGTTGAGGCCGCAAAGAGCAAACAGAGTCTGAAAGCATGGAAGACTTGGTGTCTTATTACTACGTGTGTCCTGCAACACAAATGTCAACATAGTGTTGAAGAAACATCCCCCTAAGGAATTGGAGGAGGCTACAGAATATACTAAGTTTTTGGTTAAGATAATGAAGGAAGTCAAAGAAACAATCTGGGAACAGATTGCCAAGACACACAGGCTGTTCCCCCTGACAGCGGCTACTTCTAAGACTTAGCTCTGACAAAAAGAAGTCTTTAAGATGAACAAATAGCCAGGCGTTGGTGGCACACGCATTTAATCCCAGCACTCGGAGGCAGAGGCAGGTGGGTCTCTGTGAGTTAGAGACCAACCTGGTCTACAAGAGCTAGTTCAGGACTGTCTCCAATGCAATACAGGGAAACCCTGTCTCAAAACACCCCCCTCAAAAAAGAGGAACAAATAGATGGTCAGATCTTGAAAAGAAGAAGCAGTTCTAACCAGGAAATTTGTGACTGAACATCTATATTTAAAAACCAGAAAATTAAATAAATAATGCAACTCAAGAATTAAAAAAAAAAATAGGCCAGGTGATGGTGGCGCATGCCTTTAATCCCAGCACTTGGGGACGCAAAGGCAAGCGGATCTCTGAGTTCAAGGCTAGCCTTGTCTACAGAATGAGTTCCAGGACAGCATGGAGAAAAAATAAAAATAAAAAATAAATAAATGAAATCTTGATTAATGGTTAGTTGGCACAAGCTTAGGCCATAGCAGGTGGTGCCACATCTCAGCAGATAGTCCTGGGAGGTGTAAAGAAACTAAGTAAGCAAACTGCAGGAAAAGACAGTAAGAAGCACTCCTCCACGGACTCTGCTTCAGGTCCCCTTGAGTTCCTGCCCTGACTTCCTTCAGTGATTGACTGCCTGTTGTCCACGGAAATAAACAGTTTCCTCCCCAAGTTACTTTCAGTCTGTGTTTTATCACAGCAACAGGGAAGCCCCCTAGGACAGCATAGTCATCCCTCTCATCTTCAGGGAGTACCTGCTTCTGACCTGCGTGTGAGTGTTTCTGGCCTTACTGATACCAGCGAGGTCGGTCACACAGGCCAGCAGCAGCCTCTCTGTGAGTTAAAGCAGTCTGTACATGTGTCGTTTCTCTTACTGGTTGACGAATAAAACACTGACTGGCCAGTAGCCAGGTAGGCAGTAGAGGCAGGACTACCAGATGAGGAGATTTCTGAGGAGAAGATGCAGAGAGGAGCAGACTGAAGATGCCATGTAGCTGCTGAAGGAGTAAAACAGGTTCAGGCATTCTCCAGTAAGACGAGACCGTGTGGAAATACTTAGATTAATAGAATTGGGTTCATAGTTAAGAGAGAGCTAGCCAGTAAAAAGCCTGAGCTACTGGCTAAACAGTTTATGATTAATATAAGCTTCTGTGTGTTTGCTTGGAACGAAACGGCTGTGAGACCAGGAGAGACAGAAACTCTGTCGGCAGTGTTTAATTGTGGGAAAGATAGGCTATTTTTGCCAAATTTAAAGCAACTTGCATCTGAAGCCCCTATCTGTGCCTGAATGAAAAACAAAAGGAACAAATAAAGCCTGTATTTCCATGTTCTCAGCACACCTTGCTCCAAGGCTACAGTTTTGGTGAATAGTTTTGTGTGGCAGAATGGGTTTGGCTGTTGTTATTGACAAATGC